TAACAGCCAAAAACGCACCTTGTTAGCTGGCTTGTCTGGGTCTGACAATGTAACACATCAGTAGATATGTCAGAATGTGAAGATTGCGTATGGGCCAGTGCTGGGCCATTGTCTGAAAGAGTACCGCGGCTGTATTTCCGGTCTATTCCACTGCCTATTTCTTTTCCTAAAAACCAAATTTCTAAATTTTAGTGAAAATTTATCGCCGGTAAAAGCAGCTTATCGTGGTCCAGCAATAAAGACATGCAGGTACAGCTGATAATGCCCCCACATATAAAACGAAGCAGACAATTTCTCGTCAAGTAATTTTGCCCGGAAAACCGCTAAACTAGCAATTCTTTCAGCAAAAAAGAAGCGAATTTTAGGGGATCGCCAGCAATCTGATCACCAAATGGTGCAGCAGCACTGGTCAAAGCAACTGGAAAAGTTGCAATTGATTATTTCAAGAGTAATAAAAAGTGTTGTGCGAAAACAAGAGCAAATATATAAGTATTATAGAAATTTTAAAGATACAAACAATGAATATGCCTTGCTAGGAGAATGGAAGAGGACGGGGGTCTGAAATCGCGTCTGTGTGTTAACATATACAGTTTGTTTGGGAATGTTGACCCACCGTGGAGAGGAGGAACACAATCGAATTTTGATAATTAATGAAAACACAGTGGAAGTAGTGTCATTTAGATCTCCCATATAAGCAAGCCTGTATGTATGGTGACTTGGTAACCTGTCTGTGTTTCATCGCTAAGTTGAAAACTGATATCACAATCAAACGATTGAAATAACAAATAAGAACACTACAGAGCTTTAAAGCTTACAAAACATACCGTTGTCTTTACTAGCAGCCGAAGCATCACTGTCCACTCGTCCTCCTTCTGAACCATCACCAATCACATCATCTTCTTGGGCCCTTCGTTTTCGTTGAGGAATTAACTGCTGTTGCTGCTGCTGCTGCTCTGCAGTTACTTCCTTTGGTCCAGCATTAACAGCTGCGGCCTAGAAAAACACACACTTCACACGATGCGAAATAAATTTAGGGATATTTTTGTAGCAGAGGAGGAAAAATGGGGAAAAAAGGGGCTGTTGGAACTAGTCCTAGTACATGTGAGGAAGCCAGAAGTGCTGTAGTGCCGTTGGCATGTTTGTAAATTTAAAAGTACTGAAACTCAAGCACCTCAAAAAACCGCAAAAATGCTTATATGCGCGAATGGTAAATGGACAAAAATTACTTGCATTTCATCTGAAATTGGCCGCAATCACGGCTTGAATAAGTCATTTGGGCTAGCGGTCTCAAAGTTTTACTTACAGCGGGGATACTATGTTTTTCTACCATCAGCATAAAATGATAGAATAAAGGGACAAGATTTGATGGACCGAAACAATCCAATTCAGCTTTTATTTTATTTTTACTTAAAACCCTTTTCATAACCATAAGGTAGATTTAAATTAAATTTCATTTGTAAGAAGACATTTTAAGATGCAGCCTGTGTTTCATCCCTTAGCTGTAAAAACAAACCGAACTTTGCATCTAAACAAAAGTGAATGCCAAAAAAGTTGGACTTTAAATAATAACTAAATTTAGCTCAAAATAAAACATACGCTATGTTGGATATCCGTGAAATCTTTACTGCGAAACGAATTGAGTAAAGCGTTTCGATTGCTTAGCACTCGATCAAGATAATCAATCATGGGCAGCCATTTGCTCTCGCTACGACACTTCTCCAGCAAACTCCTTACAGTTTCCTCATTTAATGTTTCTGTTGTTGAAGGTAACACATCTACACCTAAAATTTTTGAATTTTTTTTTTTGAAAATTATATAACAAGGAGTGGAAATACTGCCAAAAAATGGTAAGAAACGACAGACCAGGAGGAAGATCTTCACAGATCAATGCCTTATCGCGCAAGCAAATGATTGCCCGAGCAGCTGCTTCATTACTTGAGAGCGGCGGAAATTTCCCGGATGATGCACAGTTTCGATTTGGACAAAATGCTCGCCCACAGCCACTCAATAACTGAAACAAAAAAGTGCCCAGCTTAAGAAAAGTCCCCGAACTGCATTGGTACCTCCCTTTAATCGGACTAGCTCCCTTTTTTTCAAAAATTTAGGTGCATTTTCTGTGAAAAATTAGGTTCCAGAAATTGCTCCCTACCAGAAAAATCACTTTTCTTTTTTAAATCTGTCATTTTTTAAACCTTTTTTTCTTTAAAATAAAAGCTCTTTTCAAACTTGTTTTTTCTATTTTCATAAATGGAAACATTCAGGAGCAGCCCGAATGGTACCACTTTCATAGCAATCATTGTCTGATGGTATAACTGCCCATGGCTTTCTTCCCCAAGAAATGCCTGATAAGTAAGCTGATCACGACTTCGACTTCTAGGCAAGTACTCCCCTCCCCCTCCTCTCGTCTCCTATCCCCTTCCCCCATTTTTCCCCTTTTCCTCGCCCTCTCCCCAATCTCTCAGATAAAAAATTTCGTCCAATAAGAAATGAACAAGCCTGTCGGTGATATTTCTCAATGGCAATTTTCATGGCACGTGGTGGTTCACGCAGACGTCGTGCGCTATCCAACGATGTATTGGACCCCTCCATTCTTCAAATTACTGGAAATGGCGAGTATTTTGCACTGCAGCTATCGTATATGTTACTAATTCGCATATATAATACATCCTTTAAGATATCACTTCACTGTGATCAAGCAATGACAATGCTCAAGCGAGCTGGTGATGCTCAACACACACACACACACACACACGCACACCAAAGATTTTCGAAGCGGATGAGATCTTGCCAAGTGCTTCTGCTGGAAGAAACATTGAGCCAGGTGGTAATCTTTTGAGGAGAAGAAAACTTCAAATTTTCATTCTTATTTTACTATGTTTGTTTTCTTTTCATTCTCCCCACCTTTTCACCATCTTTATTTTCTTTTTCTTTTAAATTACTCCACCAGAACTGACGAGGTTCAGTTGTGGTTCTGAAAAGGAACGTATACGACTTGATGGACCGAAAAATTCCTCTTTAGTTTTCTTTCTATTTACTCTCCCCCCTCCTCTTTGCCCCGCTTACCTATTCTCCAATTCCCTTCTTTTTCTAGGCTTTACGACTATTAGAGCACTTCTCATGAAAAAGCTAGAATCTTAAGCAATATGATACCTAGCGATGCAGCAATGATCAAAGTAACTGAAAGAGTTCTCAGCTGCACAGATGAAGAAAGAGGAGAAAAAGAATTAAAAGCTGAGTGTATAAAATGTATTTATGAGACACACATGAAGGAAAAACAAAAGTTACATATGACTGATATGTGCCTGCTCTTTCAAACTTACAAGGGGTTGCTGTGGTTCTGAAAAGGAATGTATACGACTTGATGGACCGAAACCACAAGAAATCTCGATATATCGATGTTAAGAGTCTTTATTTCAGGAAAACCAAAAAAAGGAAAGATACGATGAAAGATCGTCATGTCTTAACGAAGTTTTTTTGGGCAAATTTACCCAAAAGCGCCTATATTCGGGAGAACAAAAAAGAAAAAATTCGATGAAAGATTATCATGTCTTAACGAAGTTTTTTTTTGGGCAAAATTACCTCTCACTGTGATAACTTATGCATATTCGTGTGTGGTACAGTAAAGCAGGCTGAGCTACCTTATTTTACCTCATTTCGGAGGGGCAGAATTATCGTGCTGCTGGGGGAAAATGCAAGTAAGAAAATGAGTTGAAACGAAATCCAGCAAAGCACAAGTGATAAGTGAAAATCAGTAAAATCCGAAAAAATCCAAATCCAAAAAGTCAAAAAGTCCAATTCAGCAAAGTATGTAAGTTAAAAAGATCAGGAGGCAAAATTTGCCCGAAAAAGTATGAGAATTCAACGAAAAAAGAGGGAAATTATGTGCTGAAGACACTAACGACTGGTTCTAATCGAACAGGGTTAGCTGACCCTGGTGAAAAATCCTAAGAAAACTGGGCCCTGTTTGTCAAAAACCACGCGACCACTCGAATGCAGCCACGTGGAAAGTCCACGGGTGAATGGACACTGAGGAGGCATCGCGTAAAACACGCAAAAACCGAACTCGCCCACATGAAAAGCACCACCGCCAAACAAATGTGTGGAAAAGCATTGCTTAGCAATGTGTGCATCGC